ATTGCAGGTTGCTTGCCCTGAGCAATGTTTTCACACCACACAACAAAAAAGACAACACAATGACTGAGTCCATGGTAGGAAACTACAAATGGAATATAGCCTGAAGTTCATTTCCTCCTTTTCCCCAAAAATCTGCCATCATCTCAACAGGGAGGAAGTTCAAGTTTACCTTGAACCAAGTCCTGGACTACCTTAGTCCTTTATACCTTCTCTGTCTGCTACAATTAATAATTTAAAATAAATCGTATTTGTGTCAAGGAAAAAAATGGGGTTTTAGGATATTGTCAAGCATGAATATGTTTTTAATTTTTTTCTGGAAATACACATGGGTGACATATGCTTTTTACTATATCCAAGACCTGTTGATAATACAGTAATTCTGCCATAATGTTATAGGTGGAATTTCCATATTGTCAATTTTTAAAATGAAGGATTGCATTATAGATACAGTAATGATACAGCAGGGAGGTAAGGGCTGGGTCTGTTGCAAAATCTAAATCACTCCTGATCCAAGCTTTGATTTGACAACATGATTGCTATCAGCTTAAACATGTGTTGATGAGGAATTTGGCACTCCGTGGCTAGCAAAGGCTTTCAGAATTTTAGCACTCACAGTTAGTTGGCACTCATTTTCCTTTCTGCTTCTCAAGATTTCCCCACCCCCAAAGAAAAGACTCTTAGCTTGCACTGGTTGAGAAAGTGAAGGGGAGACTGGGTAAAGAGTTAAAGCCAATCACCAACTCTGCTATATTTAGATCATCATTATTACAGTGGGAAGGAATATTTTAATCTTCCTATTTAACTGCTTTATAACAGTCATCACAGTTTTCACGTGTTCCTTTTCATGGGTCTAAATCAGGGAAAAAATAAACAATTTGAAATATAAGCAAAAGCACATCTCTCCTGTGTTCCTTTTAATTTTTTTATTTCCCCTGGGAACAGATGATTTTTAAAAAGAAGATTAATTGATACAATGAAGCAGAGCTTAAACTGAGCATAACTTACTATATGTGGGAACTTCAGGATAGACTTTCATAGATTCACAAGACCACCTATATTTTCAGTTGTGCCAATTCAAAGGACCAGACTCATCTATTTTTAAAAGATAGCTAAAGAATCAGATTTTGCTACTAAGCAACCCTATACTTTACAGTGTCCACTAGATGTTTGACCTAATTCTGTTGCCTCCTACTCCACTTTACTTTAGACAGTAATGAAGAGATATTCTTTCTTGTAATCATTTTAGCTCATAAAATCCATGTCTAGTTATGGCAACTTCTGGCCAAGCGGAAGCATCAGGCAGTGAAACCACTCTCAACAGCCTTCATGTTTGCAGATGCTCTAGGTCTGGAAATCACTGCTGGTGTGCCTGCATATGTAAAAAAATGCTAAGAAGTTTAGTGATTTCCAGAAAGCATATGCATTTAAGAGGAAAGAAACTTCTAAGAAAACTTTAAGCGCCAAGATCTTGAAATAAGTAGATCAGTTTGGTGATCACCTGACTTGGTTCAGCCAAGCGTATTGACCTTCTCAGGATTAGAATAGAATGAATAGGGATATAATGTATGACAATCTCTAAAGCATGGTTTTGTGATCACTATTAAAACTATTTGCCCTAGAACAATGAACTCACCACCTATCATTTCAGCTATTTAACTTTGGATCTTGAAAGCTTTATCATACTGTGTCTCTTATTTAATGCAACCATTTCCACAATGGATTGCACCTGAGGACACTATTGGTGAGAACAAATGCACAATCATTTGTGAGTAAGAGCATGGCACAGACATGGTGGTAGGAGTGGGACTGTCAGAACAAAGGATAAAATCAATGAGGAGGCTGGTAAAAAGTCACAAGGTTTTGATTTCCTCCTGATGTAGCCTCGAATACTTGAATTCAGGAGAAAATTGTCATTTTCTTCTAGCATTCGAATGTTTTTAACTTTCATGCAAAATTTTCTGCTCTATCACCTGCATTCGTGTTGCAATACGGGGCCTCCCTATCATGCGTAGACCAGGACTAGAGGAGTAAGTTGTCTATGTGTCTGTTAGTCTTTGTATAAAAATCAAATGCCTATTTCAAATATTCCTAGTTTACTTTAGGTAGCTTAATATCCCATTCATTTCTTCTTTTTAGTCATTTCCTGCTGCTGAATTAGGTGAATTGCTTTGTACGATTTCTTAACCATAATAAGCGGTAAATAAATATTCTTCCTGGGATCAGAACATATTTTTAATTTTTCAATAAAATAGACATACAAGAAAGTCCAAAAACCATAATTTATACTTAATAAATGAACTATGAACATCTGTGTAACCCCCAACAGGATCAAGAGAGAACATACTGCTAAATCCCCAGAAACCCATTCTGATCACAAACTACCCACTCCTCTCAGAGGTAACTGCTAGACTCCCTTTCATGACAATAATTTTCTTGCTTTTCTTTTCCTGTGTTGGTTTACTGCTGTATACGTCCCTAAGCAACATTATTTAGTTTTGTCTCTGCTTGTGACCCATAAACGGAACATAACTGTACTTTGCTTTATATTCCATGTCTTCACATATACTTGCGGTTTCTTCATTGCCGTTGCTATATGACATTCCAGTGCATGTGGCATGACTTTAACTCATTCTCCTACTCATCAATATTTAGGTGCATTCTAGGTTCTGGCTGCTAGAAACAATGCGGCTACATGTTCTGTCCATGCCTTCCAGTGCACAGGTTCATGAGCACCTCTGATGTAGATATCCATGACTAGAAATGCTTGGGCATGCAGCATGTAAATCTTCAACTTTGCTCAATACAACAGGGAAGCTGTTTTTTCCAAAGTGGGCATTGCAATGTTTACTTCCCCTACAAGTATACAATAGTGTCTGTTTTCCACATCCTCACCAACACTTGGTATTGTCAGACTTCTTAATTTTTTGCCAATCTGGCATTTCGTGTATATTAGTATCTCCTTGTGATTTTTAATTTTTTTCTCATTGTAAAACCATGATTACTAATGAGATTGAGAACCCCTACATGTGTTTACTTCCCCAAGGCCAGAAACTTTAAAATGTACATATAAATTCAGGTACTCTGGACTTTGATGATTTGATATTATTCATACTGAACACTTCATGCCATACTGGAAAGTATAGGGAAAGCAAAAGAAATTCATTCATTGAATAGCAATTTGGAGCTGGGAACCTCAAATACTTTGACCTGTTTTATCTTTGAAATAATTTTGCTAGGCTTATGTTGTTATTCTTATTTGCAAAATAAGGAAATTGAGGCTCTGAGGTTAAGGAAGTTACCCCAAAGCAAATATATAGCTTAAGTTTGTTAAGTATTAGAAATGACACTCACACCATGCCTGTATGCCTCCGGAGCCCAAATTCTTTCCAGTAACTATATTTTCTCCTAAGAAATAACCTTTGCAAGAGCAAAATAATATTCAATATTCTTTTGTAAAGTCATATTAAAAAGTACATCAAAATAATTTCACAGATAGTCTAGTTAATATAACCAATTAAATAACTGCATCCATAGGTCAGTTTTTCCTTTCACACTCCAAAAGTCAATTGATCAACATTTAAACAAATGAAAGGGTCTTTGATATTTGACGGAATTTCCCCTATGAGAATAATTCGTGAGACATTTTAGTCACATGTTTCATTTTCCACCTGTGACAGGCACTTGTGAATTGATTAACATCGTACGGTAGTGTTATAGAATATTAAATGACAGCAAGAAATAAAAGTAACAAAAGACGAGAGTGAGACAAACTCGCCTCAAACAGATACATTTTTAAATAGGTAATCAATTTACTGAGACACTCAACAAATTCAAGCAACAGACATTTTAAAAAATTAATTTAAAACCAATTAAAGGATAAACATCAAACAAAGATCCTAAGAATTTATTAATGGTGCATTTTTTTTTCAACTACAAAGTTCTAATAAAAAGCCTGTAAATCCTGCAGATATAGAAACAATTTTCGAAGAATCAAATTAACCAGAAGCAATGACTCAGATACAAGATTGCCTACAAAAGGAGATAGACCAAGCTTAGCATTCTCCCAGAATGCTAAGAATAACTCTTAGGATAGGAGTAGCATTCCATGCATGACTCTACCCTCTAGTATCTTTACAAAATGACCTTTCAATGGGATCTGAGCCGAGGCTTTGTCTAGTGATGTAGACACACTGGTAGCTTGTACCTTTGTTACCAACAGGCTTGGACTTTGTGTCTCTGAATATTAAACTCACATTCATCCAACTCCATAGAAATGAAGAGTGAAAAATTTTATTAACCACTTCTATATACATCACATATTTTGTGAGGTTCATTATTTTTATTTTACTTTTAAGGCAAATGGTCGCTTGCAAGAGTGCCAGCATCCTGTGCACTTTCTAGTTGTCAATATACCTCCATCCTCTCCTGTACTACCAATTGGCTACAAAGATTTAAAGGTTCAGTGATTATAGGATTTACATGATTTTAACCCCTTTAAATTTGAAAACTCTTTAAATCCCATTATCTCTGCAGCCACTGCAAATTTTAAAATCAGCTTGGCCTTTTCTAGCTCCAGGTCTAAGGATTACAGAGTTTTAAGGAGTATAAATGCCTTTTTGAAGTTCTATAAAGAGCTCTCCCCACCCAGTTGACCTACAGGAAATCAAGCCAGCCAGTTCTCCAGCTGGTGACTGCTGATCAGAGCTTCTAAATGGAGAGATATGTACGTTATGTCACAAACCACCATGAAAACAAGTAATTGCTTCCTTGACTCCATATGAAGCCAGTGAATCAGAAGATTTAATGTAGTAGGGGTGACAGATTTAGACATTTGTCAGTAAATGTCTAAGAATAATAAACCAGAAGATGTTGTCAGGGACCCAAGCAAGCTCTCCAGGGCAGAGAGAGTAAGTTCAGTGAGTTGGAAGCCCTCCTGCTCCTAAAGAAAAGCTGTTACCATGGATACTCTCCGACTGCCAGGTAACTCTCTGAGGTCTTACCTCTTGTGTCTTCACATTTATGTATCCATAGTGAGTTCGAAGGGGCCGCCTGTATGTGTAGGAGAATGGTATCCACTTTGTAGCAGGCTGTCCAAAGCAGTTTAGTAGCAATGGGAAATTCACTTCATTTACAAGGCGTACAACCAGCAGGAAAAGGAACGCTGCTATGAAGCTCACAGCAATCACAGACTTTCTCTACAAAACATTAAAAAAAAACGAAAAAGAAGAACGAATGACTTTCAACCAAAAGCAGTCACAGAAAGAGCTTCCTTTATTCCTCTCTTTTTCTTTCATAGGGATCAAAGGATTCTGTCATTCAGGATATTTTACTTGAAAACAGAAAATAATTATTTGGTGACCAGGTTGTCCTAGTATGCTGGGCTGCTGAGAACAAGCAGAGCTGCTTTCTTAGACTCTTCCATTGCCTCTCCACCCTTCCTTATCTCCTTATATTCCTTGTAAGCTCCTATTCAGTTTGCAAAACCCAAATCAATGACAGGAAACCTTTTCTAATTGCTCAGTCTCCTCCTCACCATCCTGCTTTGACCCCCAACCTATCCACTCTAACAGAGGTAAAGTCCCATCACTCCCAAACTTTAAAGACACTTCTATTGTTGTACTTTTTCACTGTGTAATTATTTATGTGCTTTTCCTCCATGTATTTGCGAGTTCTTAGAGAACTGGAATGTACTGTGTCATCTTGATCTCTGTATCCCAGGCTCTTAACATGGTACCTTACATGCTACAAGCATTCAAAGAACATTGAGTGAAACTAATGAATGAATAAATAAATGAATGGATGTTCACATTCTTGTGGACACAGTATCACTATCATTCATTCTTCTGTTTCTGTATCTAGCACCCACCATGAGTAGAAAATTCTGCCTGTGCTATAGGATATGCAAAAGTAAGATTCAAAAAATGAGAGGGAAAAAAAATTGTGCCAAGCGACAGAACATTCCTCTAAGTGTGCCGCCATGGAAGAAAAGCAGGAACAACTGCATCTGATTGAGATGGGAGAAAGGAGAAAGCAAAGATGTTTTTGAGATTGAGCTTCATAAAATGCATGTGTTTCACTTGATAGGGACGTGTGAACAGAGATTTCTAGACAAAGGAAACAGCACGGAGACAAGAATACATAGAGTTACTCGTCGTTACAAACTATTATAGTAGTTTGCCCTATTGAAGCACAAAGAAAGAGAAAAAGCTAGAACACAAATGATAACTATATGCTGAATTGTCTCAGATATCAAGCTAATATATCTATACTGAGTTTGCTAGGTTATGGAAAGCCAAAAGACATTTTTTTCTTTGCTTATTTGTTTCGTTAAAGGGTACAGTTGGCTGCATAAATGTCTTCTTTTGAGAAGTGTCTGTTCATATCCTTTACCCACTTTTTGATGGGTTTTTTGTTTGTTTGTTTGTTTTTTCCCTGTAAATTTCAGTGCCTTGTAGATTCTGGATATTAGCCCTTTGTCAGATGGATAGATTGCAAAAATTTTCTCCCATTCTGTAGGTTGCCTGTTCACTCTGATGATGGTTTCTTTTGCTGTGCAGAAGCTCTTTAGTTTAATTAGATCCCATTTGTTAATTTTGGCTTTTGTTGCCATTGCTTTCAGTGTTTTAGTCATGAAGTCTTTGCCCATGCCTATGTCCTAAATGGTATTGTCTAGGTTCTCTTCCAGGGTTTTTCTGGCTTTAGGTCTTACTTTAAATCTTCAATCCATCTTGAGTTAACTTTTGTATAAGGTGTAAGGAAGGGGTCCAGTTTCAGTTTTCTCCATATGGCTATCCAGTTTTCCCAACACCATTTATTAAATAGGGAATCTTTTCCCCATTGCTTGCTTTTGTCAGGTTTGTCAAAGATCAGATGGTTGTAGATGTGTGGTGTTATTTCTGAGGCCTCTGTTCTGTTGGTCTATAGATCTGCAACCAACAAGCATATGAAAAAATTCTCATCATCACTGGTCATTAGAGAAATGCAAATCAAAACCACAATGAGACACCATCTCGTGCCAGTTAGAGTGGTGATCATTAAAATGTTAGGAAACAACAGATGCTAGAGAGGATGTGAATAAATAGGAATGCTTTTACACTGTTGGTGGGAGTGTAAAGTAGTTCAGCCATTGTGGAAGACAGTGTGACAATTCCTCAAGGATTTAGAAATAGAAATACCATTTGACCCAGCAATCCCATTACTGGGTATATATCCAAATGATTATGCATCATCCTACTATGAAGACATATGCACACATATGTTTATTGCAGCACTATTCACAATAGCAAAGACTTGTAACCAATTCAAATGCTCATCAATAATAGACTGGATAAAGAGAATATGGCACATATACACCATGGAATACTATGCAACCATAAAAAAGGATGAGTTCATGTCCTTTGCAGGGACATGGATGAAGCTAGAACCATCATTCTCAGCAAACTAACACAAGAACAGAAAACCAAATGCCACATGTTCTCACTTATAAGTAGAAGTTGAACAATAAGAACACATGGACACAGGGAGGGGAACATCATACACTGGGGCCTATTGGGGGTAGGAGGCTAGGGGAGGAATAGCATTAGGTGAAATACCTAATGTAGGTGATGGGTTGAATAGTGCAGCAAACAGCCATGGCATGTGTATACCTATGTAACAAACCTGCATATTCTACACACATATTCCAGAACTTAAAGTATAATAAAAAAAAAGAGAAGACAGTCATGAGTTATGATCAAAGATCATTGTTTAAGATGCTTTGGAGCAGGGAGAGAGTAAAAGTGACTAGTTAGGAGGCTATTTCCCAATTGCCTAGGACAGAGGTAATGAGGGATGGAAACGAGGGCAGAAGCAGAGAAAATACCAAGGTAGGAAAAAAATGCAAGAAACGTGATTTAGGTGGAAGAAATGGAACTTGGGCTACTGACAGGACAGAAGTGGCTGATGGAAAATTCAGAGATGCCTCAGATTTTGAGTCTAGGTGACTACAATATTATGGAACATATTAAGAGAAACCAGTGTTGTCAGAGCAGGAACTAATTTAAGATAGTAAAAAATATAAAGCTCTTCGCTTTCTAGTTTTCAGGGACTGTCAAGGAGTCAGGTGGAAGGTCAAGTCTAGAGCAAGAAGGAACATTGCTGAAGCCATGAAGTGCAGGGTAAAGACACAATAAAATCTGTTTTCATATAGTTGGGCTGGGCCCTCCCAATTCTTCTTCGAACTTAAGAAAAGCCGCGTAACTGTCTGAGAAAGACCAAAATGTTTATTGTTGTTGTGTTTTCAGCTTACTACTACCTGGTGGAATTAGTTCTTTTTGTTCTTCAGACTCTCCCAGGGAAGTCAAGAAACCTGAAAGCAGTTCCTGTATCCTCCCAGGGCTAGGGCCATAGCCTCTGTGTGGGCAGTGGAACCAGCCCCCAGGAGTCGGCGATACCCAAAGGCAATCTTGCTTCTTGCTCACCTCCCATAATTTGTAAAAGCCCCCGACCTCTGTCTCGCCAGCCTGATTTTCCAATCACCTGAAAGTCCCCTGAGCTCTGCCACCTCACACCTCTTATCTCACCACTAACTACCACAGCCTTACCTCATTTAACCTTCTAATCATGAAAAACTGTTTTAATTTGCTCCTCTGTGGAATCATTATGTCCACAACATTGCAATGTGTCAAGGTAACAGCTTAAATGAAGTGATGGATCTTACAAGTTTAAAGGGACATAGACCAGAACAGATGGCTAAATAAAAGCAAAGAGACCAGTCACCCATTAAGTAAACAGGTAAGAATCTTTTTTTTTTTTTAATTGTCATTTGGTAGCTTGTTGCAAAACAGCAGCTTGCTTTGAAGGAGACCCAGATGGGATTTGTGCTTTTGTTTATTCTGAGCCCAGCACGGCTCTCTGGTTCTCTTGATTGCTGCATTGCATTGCATTGCATTGCATTGCATAGCTGGGGTTTGGGCACAAAGACGTGGACAGCCTTTCTGAATCCACTGTTGTGTGCAGCAACACATACATAATGCATACATGAGAGAAAAATAAATCAACCATTTTGAGAGAAACTTCAAAACAGAATGAAATCACAGTTGTAAAGGCCTGCTTCCTGGTGATCCATGTCTGCCTCTCATGTTCTATCAAAGGGAACCATGTAATGAGCACAGAGAGGGTGAAGGGAGCAACCAGAGAGCAGAAGCCAGACACTGACTCCTCTGTGAGCCACAGGGAGTGGTATTCTGCAGTGGACAGAGGTTCCTTCCACAGCTCACGTCCCCAGCCCAATTTCTGTTACATTGCCTGGGTTTGATTCTTTGCCCTTCTTCTTATTTGGCATGAAAGTGTTCTCATAGTGCTAGTATTTCCTTTCCACTAGGAAAGGCATACCTTCAGGCACAGTGTGTGCTCCAGATGACAAGTACAACAGAATACAATGCACACGTGCCTTCTTCTAGTAGTCACTTCCACCAGATCATGACCTCAAGCTGCAGCAACTACGATGAAAACCATGGACGAGACAGAAGTCTACACATCACTGAATGTAGTCAGAATGTGTGTGGGGAGGGGGCAGGGAGTAGGGATGTGGGAGCTGGGGAAATGAACAAAGTACTGACGTGCATGATATACCTGCATGTATCACATGGATATCATGCAATACGTACTAAATAATTTACATCTTCAAGCAACCATTGTTGATTGAGTTCATACTCTGTGTAGACTTGGCTAGGTGCTGAAACAATAGAAATAAAACCATAAAAGACACACCATGCTTCCAAAGAGTCACAATTTACTGCAGCTGGCCGGTAAATAGAACACTCTAATACCAGGTGTCAAATGAGGCTAATGGGGATGTGCACAGGGTGCAGTGAGAGTTCAGAGGAAAGGTGGGTACAGAAGAAGCAGTTAAGGAAATGTTTGTCTGGGTGGTGATATTCCAACAGAGTCCTGAGGACCGAGGAGGCATCACCAAGAGAAAAGGCCAAGGGCATTCCAGGCAGAAGGATTAACAGTTTGAAAGGCCGTAATTTGGTCAGAAACCTTCAAGTCAATCGGTCAAAAGAATACAGAGGCTCTAAGTGGTAGGAGATGATGCTAGACAGAGTTAAAATCATAAAACAAAAGATAATACACCGAATAAACTAAGTTGGATGCAATCCTCTGTCCTATCTAACCTACTGGGATAATGAAAGGATAAATGTACGTAAAAGTG